GCTTTCTTTTCTATAGATAAATACACACTCTATTCTAAATAACTGTACAGATATTAAAATACCATTAAAAGGAAAAATGCTTTTTTCTTGCAATGACAAATGTTTGCAGTTTTCTCAAAAAAAAAAAGTACATTTTGCTGATTTTTTGCAATAAATAGCATGTAAGCAAAACACAAATCCTGGTGTGCCATGAAATAAATCAGCTTAGTTAATTCCCTGTGGTTTTTAAGCAGATTCCATTGTGGCTCTTAATGCACAGTCAGTCAATCAGATGGGTAGTATTTGGGGTAAGCAAAATGCTAACGAAAGTAAACAGCTCTCATGTTTTTCAGTTTAAATGGATCTAAAACATAAGGTTGCATGGCAGCATGCAGATGATCAACAGAGGAGCATCGTGAACACTCCCATTTATAGGTGAGATCTTGAGGAAGGAAATCTTTTAAGCACATAACTGTTTTGTAAGCAACTTATGTTGCCTTTCTAATATGAACCATTAAAATGGCTGTGGAGAATTACTAAACTGTTATATTTTTATTTTATTTTGTATATATTGTTGAGTGCTGACACTGTGAGCAAGTAAGTGGTCTCAGTTCCTAGGAAGCTAATGGTCTGAAGTGATTTTAAATACTGAACTAAGGTGAGCAAGGAAACCTGAATGACACAGAAAAACTCTTTTATACTATTATTCCCTGGTTGATCCCATCAGTCAGTTGCAATAACATTTATGTTTGGATGCGGAGAGACAGGCAAGAGTGGTGTCTCAATTGGAAGACCGTTATTTTCTTTCTTTATTTGCTTAACTTGCTGGAATAGCCAGCCTAAATAAAGAGGCCTTATGAGACCAGGAAACCATATTGTGATAGAAACTGATTTCATAAGTGCCATTTAATCCTTATCTATAAATAAAATGCTTAATTCATGCTTCCTTTTGGCTCAGCTGGGAGCCTTGGGAAATGCAGAATAACATACTTGTTCCTAAGTTAGGCATGGAGGTTCAGAACAGTAAGTATGTGATGATTCCTTAGTAAGGGTCTGTAGAAGTAAATGTTAGTGTGTAGATTCCACACAAATACATTTTATAAGTAATTCTGCACATTACACAAGTTCACATGAGAGAAAATGCCTTTTCAGCCTACTTGGCCTTTACAGGTACCAGTACTGTGTCTAGGAAAAACATGTTGTCTCCCAGGATTACAGCTGGGAGGTTTGCTCCAGATGAAGACAGAAGAATTCTAGATGTCAAATGAAACCTAAAAAAACCCCACCACTTTCTAAATTAGGGAAAGTAAATTTTTATATGAGGCCAAGATTTTTTTCCATATTTTCTAAAAATGTACATTTCATATTCTCAAGAAGATAATTTATTTTAAAAATGAAAATATTCATTTAAGTTGTGTTTCATTTGAACACAAAAAGAGAAGCAGACTTTTCAAAATGTATAAAGTTTATTCAAGAACTCAGTTTTCAGTTAATTCTTGCAATTTTCTTTTGCATAAAGCTATATAAAGTTAGACAAACGTCAGTACTAAAGAACTGTGAAATGGAAACAGAGAGGGTTGTGTTTGGGCAATCACCAACAAAGTTTTACTACCATTTCGATATTTTTACTTTTCCACTGTGCAACAATCCCAACCAGTTACAAGAATTGCTGTAAATAATTCTTTTTGTGGGACGAAATATGCAAACAATACAGTTCACTGTGCGGGAGAGTGGTTTGGGGTTTTTTTTCCTTCTTTTCCATTTGGATAACACTTTTGAGAATAAACTAGAGAAGTGTGTACTCTCACTTCCCTGTGCCATGATTTTCTGTTAATCTGGAACTATCTACTGAAGTTTGATTCAAGTAGAAGCAATAATTGAAGTATTAAAAAGAGACGGAAAGACATCCACATGGAGATATCAGAAATAGTAATTTAGCGATACATGAACTATATTGAGATTAACATCAGGATAAGCTGATCACACTGTGGTAACTTTAGCATAAACTTAGTTTATCCACTAACCACAACTAAAAGAAAAAATATCCCAACAATGTTCTTCAGTGACAAAACGTTGCCATCCATGCTTTAAAAAACCTGCACAACTTTTATAATGCAACTGTATTTTCAGTCTCAATTTTGTAGCATAATGAAAAGAAGAATAAAATTTAAAAAACAAAGAAGGGCAAGTTGGTGATTTGGATGATGGCAGAGCTGAGGCTACAGCAGAGCTGTTCAGTTTTTCTATACTACTCAGAGTCCATCTGTGAAGCGAGGCAAGTCCAAAAGGTTTACCTCCACAAGAAAGGCAGTAGTTATTAAAATGTCTAGCTGAGGTGCCATAATGCTTAGTAGTGTTACTAGCCAGGGAACCACACCAATTTTCTTAGCTGTATACCACAGCTTTGTAAAAAAATGTCAACTAAAACAGAGCAACTTCAATGCAAGAAGTTGCAACAGAAGTGACTTCCAAATACCCAGTAGTTTAGAAGTTTGCTTATGCTTGTGACTCACGGAAAGCCTGGATTCACTCCCTTGCTCTGCATTAACTGGCAAATAACATTTGAAAATGTGCCTCCAAAGCAGAAGCTTAAAATGCATAACTTAAAACGCTATGTTTCCATTACTGGCAGAATAGGCAGATTGTAACCAGTATGCTTATTTATAGTATCTGCCTAGCATTTAGGGATTAGACGAGGTGAATGAGTAGTTTGGTACCACATGGAAGTGGGCATATGTTCCTTGATGTCAGAAACATCATTGTATGCTGATAATTCAAATGCCATTGAAACTAGAGAGCGGCTGAATTCTCTAAGGACTGAAGTCCTGGTTTTGCTGTTGTACTACATCTAGAAAGGACGGTAGACATTACAGCCCTTCCAGCTTACTTGTAGCAGCAGTTTTTAGGTATCTGGCACATGCAATGGAATTTGCTGTCCGTTATTTTAATGCTCATACTTTCTACCCAATGAATAAGCTAAGGCTGCTCATAATTTGTTTTGCAAAAGCTTGCACATGGAGCTGGAACCACCTAAACTGACTTTAAAGGAATGTCGAAGACAGGTTTCTGTTAAAGCCTGCCTCAGCTGAAGGCTTAGGTTTAGATATAGTTGAGTGATGCAATTGTAGAGATACACATTTCTCTCCTAAGGACCAACAGCCCTGGACTCCTAAGTCCAGGAAAAGCAAATTTCATAAATGGAAGATGTGTGGCTTCCTACTTCTCCCTTAGGCAGTATGTTAGCAGTCGGAGCACCCTCCAAATAACATGGGAGACCTTGATTCACTTGCCCCCCTTGCCTGAAGTAACCCAAAAGCTCAGCTTAAGCACATCTCCTGCTTTTACTGCTGAAGCTCTTTTAGTTTGCATTAATTGCTGAGAGCTCCACCCTACTAATGGAGGCCAATTTCAGTATTGTATGTTAGACTCATCAGATAAATTACAAAGGCAGCCCTTAAGGCAGGGACTACCCAGGGCTTTACCACAATAATACTGGATACTGTGTACTGGGGCTCTGTCTCAACTCGGTCTTTCGTGGTTCTCTGGGATCATAGCGGATTGTTGGGTTTCTTCAGTTGTGCACCAGAACTGAAGTAGCAAGTTTAAAAAAAGGCAGAGTCTTAGTCATTGTTCTGTTCTGATTCTCCTGCTTTAAGGATGCTGATTCTTTTCTCTAAAGGATGGACATTCTGTTGTTTAACAGCAATTATGGGTTAAAATCTTTCTGGAAATAGACACCAAGGCACTATGTGATTGCAGCTCCTACCTGGGTAATAATATCAAGTATATACAAAACAGTGTCAAAGGAGTTAAAAACCCATGAGGTTTAAACAACAGACTATTAAATACAAATCCTGCTGCCCAGAGGTGTGCAAACAATTTATTTGTGTTCAGTGCAACACTTTACAGGGGAATGGGTCTGCAGTTGTGTTTCTCTACAAGGTCAATAAATGGTTTGTCAACTCTGGTTGTATCCAAAGTCCTAACGTAAAAAAGAACAGAGAGTAGTTTTACTCTCTCCATTTGTGATGGAGTCCCACTCTGACAGAATCAGAAATATCAGTCAACAGCTGCAGATGGAAATGAAATAGTCCTCTTAATTGAATCCTGTGGGCTGCAAAATGGATTTTTTTTCCCCACCACCCAAACAGTTCCTTGTGTCAGACAATCTGGAGCCACATTGAGCATTTTCTCCTTTTTACTAGTCCAGCTGGCACAGCAAATTGCCTTGTTGAATTAGCATGTCCTAAAATATAAAAGGGTTTAAATGAGTATGATGGTACAGGCAGTACAACAAACTACTGCTATTATAAAATATACTGACATATTTCTCTGTTGTATAGTGAACAGATTTGAGACACAGGGAGGTGTAAATGACTCCTGGAGGTTCCTGTATTAGTTATTTTTATATGAATCTCAGTAATAATCATATCAGTTTGTATGTTGCCAAATCAAATAGAAAGATATTAACAAATTGATACCTTTTACACAGAACTTAAACAAATACCACATTTTTCATATCTTGTGTTATTGCAAGAACAAAAATTGCATAGACCATTTCCTGGCACTTTCTGAATTCCCCAAATAATGCCTTGTCTTAACAAATAGTTCAAGTAGTTCCCTCAATTTAATTTCACCCACTAATGCAGTAAATGTTTACATGTAGTGAGAGAAAAACAACCATGGAGCTCAAAAATGTTACCATGACATAATCATCTGACTGAATAGTAGTTCAGCAAGGAAACAAACTCGTTTTATTTTTTTATGCTCTCTGTAAGGCTGTTTTCAAAGTGTTATTGACAGAACATGTAATTTGCTTCAAGTGATTCTTCTGAAGCTGAAATGTCATTTGTGCTCTTCTTCCCCTTTCACCCTGTAGTCCAGAACTGTTGATACAGATTTGTTTCCTAAATAGAAGTACTTTGTTTTTTAAAATTCTGAAAATCCTGTGTTTGGTAATGCTCTTTAGTAATAATATAAAACTCAAACTAGCAAGGGGGTGCGCGGCCTTTGCTGCTGCCTCACTGGCAGACACGGCTGTATTCTTGGCAAGTGGAGCCCACGTCGGCCACCGACAAGTACAGCTTTCCGTCCGGACACACGCAGATTTCATACAGCCCCTGAGAAATACCGGATCCACCCCTTGTACCCTCAGGCAATTTGGGCAGGCGCACAGTTTCAGCATCGAGCAAAAGCTGCATGGGAAAAAGCAGGACAAATGGGCTCGTTAGAGGTAATAATGCAATAGTGTGCCATAAACCAACTTGACTTTGCCTCAGCAGTGGTTTAAGCTGCCTTCTGTCAGATTTATTTACAAAGCTGCTCTGAGACGTGGGCTCTGGCCAGACACTGGGACATGGGAGAGGGATAAGCTGGTGCCCATCCTCTTCCTTAGCTCTTAGATAAGAGATGGGGTGCCTGTCTGTTTGCTGAATAGTGGGGCATGGGCGCTGCTGCTGCCGCGCTGTCTGGGCCTGAGTGATGCAGCCTTGCAGCCGTGCCAGCTGGTTAAGGATGGACATGCAGGTCAGTCTGGAGCTCCTCTGTGGAAGAACGGGCACTGTACAGCCTGACAGAGGGGATAAATGGGCTGCTGCATGTCATGTGCTGTTGCTGATGGGGCAGTTTTTTGCAAAGCTTCACTCCTTCATTTTGCCACTCTGGGGCTGAGTGTTTACCTCTGGGCCAAGGACCCCACTGAGTCCCTGGGGATCACTGTGCTAGTGGGGAGCTGAGCGCTAGCAGAGCTTTATTAGAAAGCATTTCTCTAAGCTAATACAGCATTATGTCAATTGGTATTATTATTTAAACTGACCCATAAATAAAAGTCTTATTATTGGCACCATTAATTTTAATATCCTCTCTCCTAAAATTTGAAGAATTAAATTAGCAGAACTTGAAAGAAACTTGACATTATTAGTTATAACCAGACAGCAAGATCAACCATAGTTCTGGAAACAGAAGGTCTTGTACTCACCACACCATCGCTGCTGTGTAGTTTGATATCCATCTGGGAAAGAGCCTCAATATTCCCAGCTTGTGCTTTGATATTAATGCCTCGTGGTGCATCCATGCTCAAAGATCGAGTCGGTGATTCCAGCCTGAAAGCAGGAGCAGGAAATCTGACAGTAGCACATTCTCATATGTTCCTTTATTTTTTGAAACATAAGTAAACTTTGAAGGATCTTGCCTGAAGCCATATAAAAGATGCAGCTTCTTTTTTCTTCAAGCTGACTTGAAAAATGAGGTAGCTATTTAAGAACATCAGAGTATTCCAAATGAAAAATACAGAGGAATTCTTAATACAAACACAAGGTATTATTTCAGCAAAAACTTGAGATTATTTCAATATGACTTTAATTTATTCTTTAAAACTAAAACCCATTTTTACACTCTTTTGCTTGATCTTATTTTCCTTTTTGACATAAGATACTGAGATTAATACAGTTAGTGCAGTCTGGAAGTCTTTTAATCACCAAGAGTTTTGACACTGCTGTTCGCTGTACCAAAATCTCACTCAATGTGCATGTGTTTAACTAGAAGATATTTGAACCACAAAAATCAGTAACTTGATTTGAAATAAAAATCATGCAAACAGAAAGTTGCAAACCCTCAAGTGCCACGAGGTGGCAGAAAGGTACTGTGTGAGCTAAGTAATCCCCTCACTGGTTCAGCTGTGCAGGACTAATGATTTTTTGTCTTCCAAAGAGGTATGGTGGTGTTTCTTCAGAATTCTTGTATCATTTCCAAAATAAGCAGCAGGGATAGAAGTACTAATTAAAAATCATGAGAAGGAAAGAAAAAGCCCAAGCTCAGCAACAAGCTAGTGATTATATTGCAGCTTTTGACCATTACCTTCATCCAGATGGCTTCATCTGGAGGGACTGGGAACACTGCAGGATCAGACTTCATATCTATTGGGTTTTGTTCCTGAATAGTGGCTCTCCCTTCTTGTTGATGCCAGCCTGAATTTTACACTCTTAAGTCATCACTAAACAGGTGAATACTAAGGCTAGAGAAAATGAAACAACTGGTTGTCCCAGTTTACTTTACACCCATGTTACCTTGTCTATTTTGTGCATTCCCTGGCCACAAAAAAACAATGTGGGCTACATCCACAATGCAAAACTCAGACATGCATCCCCATTACCATGTCTCCATGTGCTCACCCACTGTGTCTTCTGGAAACGTGTGTGTGGGGGGTGTGGGAGTGTGTGGGTTGACCCTAGCTGGATGCCAGGTGCTCACCAAAGCTGCTCTGTCACTCCCCTCCTCAGCTGGACAGGGGACAGAAAATAAAATGAAATACTCATGGGTTGAGATAAGCACAGGAAGAGATCACTCACCAATTACTGTCATGGGCAAACAGACTTGACCTGGGTAAAATTAGTTTAATTTGCTACCAATCAGAGTAGGATAATGAGAAAATAAAAAATAAATCGTAAAACACCTTCTTATTAAGCCTTCTTCCTGGGCTTAACTTTACTCACAAATTCTCTACCTCCTTTCCCCCAGTGGCACAGGGGAACGGGGAATGGGGGTTGTGGTCAGTTCATCACAAGTTGTCTCTGCTGCTCCTCCCTCCTCAGGGGAGGACTCCTTACATTCTTCCCCTGCTCCAGCGTGGGGTCCCTCCCACAGGGTATAGTCCTTCAGGAACAGACTGCTCCAACACAGGTACCCCACAGGGTCACAACTTCTGCCAGCAAACCTGCTCCAGTGTGGGTTCCTCCTCCACGGGTCCACAGTTCCTGCCAGGTGTCTGCTTCAGCACAGGCTTCCTACGGGGTCACAGACTCCTTTGTGCACATCCACCTCCACCAGTGTGGGATCCTCCATGGGCTGCAGGTGGATCTCTGCTCCACCATGGACCTTCATGGGCTGCAGGGGGACAGCTTCCCTCACCATACTCTTCACCATGGGCTGGAGGGAAATCTCTTCTCTGGTGCCTGGACCACCTCCTGCCCCTCCTTCCCTGACCTTGGTGTCTGCACGGTTGTTTCTCTCACATATTCTCTTTGCTGTTTTTGTAACAGTTTTTTCCTCCCTTATTAAATATGTTATCACAGAGGTGCTACCACCATTGCTGGTTGGCTCGGTCTTGGCCAGTGGTGGGTCTGTCTGGCATTGGCTCTATTGGACATAGGGGCAGCTTCTCACAGAAGGTACCCCTCTAGCCACCCTACTACCAAAACCTTGCCAAGCAAACCCAGCACAGTGTGTGTGTGCACATGTATGTGCATGCACTCCCAGCAGCTGCTGTCTTGGCTCCATGCATGCTCAACAGCTGTCAATCTGGATGAGTGGAGGGCTGTGCCTCACCAGGTCCTTTAGTAGGTATGCATCAGACAGTGAGTCTAGATGCTGACTGCCAATCACATGATGAAGGAATGAAATGATTTCACACACAGTCCTGATGTAGCTGTCTCATGGGCTTCATTTACTCAGACTGCTTCAGTTCTTCCTTTTACTGCAGTTACTTCATTAAAACTAGAATTTAAAAGAAGTCAGTTTGTTCTTGTGAGAAACTTCAGTTGTATTTTAGAGTTCTGAAGAAGCTAAATCCAGCTGATATATTAAAACCTAAACTCATAAGCACAGTGAAGCACAGTCACTAAAACTTCATTTTTTATCCCCAAATCTGAAAATAACTCTATTGGCTTATCACTGCTTGCCAGAGGTAGCAGGAGATTCAATCTTCTTTGGTCTTCATAGGTCCCTTCTAATCCAAAACATTCTGTGACTCTGTTTCTATGATCTGCATCTCCCTGACATCTCCTGGGTTAGTCACCTTCAATTAGTTTAAACCCCAGATTGATAATCCAAATTCCTAACAATGGGTAACTGCACCATGGCTCCATATTAGGACCACAGGCATAAAATAGTTTGATTCCTTATCCCGTGACACTGAGATGGCACAAACTTCTGTCATGATCATGCTGAGTACAAGGGCATGAGTATGTGTCTGTACTGCATCAGACTTCTAATGCAGTATTAGTAATCTTTATTAAGCAGTGTTTTTGATTTAACGACTTTTCTAGGACTTTTTGCTTTAGATCCTTAGATTTACACTTTTATGAAATGGGAAATCAGATTTTCCCTGAGTGATTTACATGAGAGGTCTACTTCATGGGAATATTTTTCAATGCACATTTGTATGCATTATATAATGAAAAATTAATCAATTTTCGTATTTTTAATATTTAAAATTTAATATATTTTCATAACTCAGTGTCAAGGTAGTTGAATATAACTGTTATCACAGTTTGTTTTAGCAAAAAGCTATAAATATTGAAATAGCTCATTTATTTTTTTTCACCTATGTAAGAAATTTATACATAGGCATAAATTTTTATTTTTAAGCTCTACTGAATATTACAAAAAGGCAGACTGGGACAGATTTTTGAAGAGCATATCAGACCTGGAGTTTGAAAAGCAATCAAACACCAGAGGAATATTTCTAACTTTCGACCAAAATTAATGCCGGCAAGAAGCCTATAGATTTCAGAAGCATTTACAGATTTATGATATCACTTACTTATAATTTAAATTACATGGCAGAATTACATTTGCTATATTAATCACAATCCTAAATTTCTACTGTTTATACAGGTCCTGTTTCTAGATTAACTAAGGGTGGATTTACCTAATTAAGTGAGTCACTGGAGCTTCCTGGCAGTGGAAACTGCAGTGAAGCTTAAGCTGTGATTTTAAAGCCTTCTGGAACTATTATGTGTGAGATTTGAGGAGAGGCAACATTCAGTAACACTAATGATGCATTTCTTCATGCAGCATTCACAGGTTCAGTGTCTCAAGTCCAGATGTACTAAAAGGGAACCAGGCACCTAGTGTAGAAATGACTTGACTGAGTAGAACCTTGACTCTGAACGTCCCTTATCAGTCCCTCTTGGTCCTGAAGACATGTGACTTCCTCAACTCCTTAGACATTGACCTTAAAGTTCTCTAAAATACTTCAGCGGTCCTGGCCCTAAGGCACTTCCAGTTTGTCACTAATGGGCAGGTTTGGACTTCTCGTGTATGATTAAGGGGCTGAAGAACAGCCCTAGCAGAAGAGTGGACTGATAGAGATACTTGAAAGAACTCAGGGTGGCTTGGAAAATTATGAACAGAGCACTGCAATTATCAGCACTAGTGGTGTTTTAAATAGACATTTATAAAGCAAAATGGGCTTTCTTTTCATCAGTGACTAGCATATCTACTAAAAGCATACGATGAGAGGAAGTTGCTCTGCACTGGTAATGATTTGGGTCAGTCAAGAAGATACATGACTGTGTGCAGATAATGGCTGATAAGAAAGTTTCAAGATCTATTCCCTAGGCAATAAATGGAAGGAGAGAGTAGACCGGGCTGAGCAAATCATTGATGTGTATCCCTCACAAGTCCTGACAAAACAAGAACTCAGTTTGCTTGCAAATGCTGGTGGGTGCTTGGAGACTCAGAGGACAGAAGATGATTGTCTTAGAGTCTTTGGTCATTTTACAGTGTTTGTTTGAATTTGGGAAGTAGAGTTATGAGGTAATATAGTGTTACCAGTCACTTTATCTTTTTTTTTTTTTTTAAATTACAGGCATATAAATTGCATTTAACAGAATGGAGTGAGGAGATCTTTATCATCTAGAGGAATTAATCTATGTAATGTGCTGTCCTAAATGAGACATCTGTCACAGCCTGTATCTCATTTGGAAAGATGAATTCTGTACTTACAAGTAGCTTCTAGGTACTGTGGTAGCTGCCAGAGGTCTGTTAGCAAGTGGTGTAGTGCAAGAGGAATTGATCAGGATGGCACAACACTTGATGCCAAGGACCTGACACCCCCTGTTCTGAGGAGCACTCTGGACTAGCTGTTGCCTGACCCTGAAGACTGGACGTCCAGAAATGTTGGAGCACATGTGGCGTTCTCCAGGAGAGCATACCTTTCAGGTTAATTTAATCCAAATGTCATCCTGTTCATGTGCCCCAAACAGTTCCACAATGACAACCAAGATGTGGAGAGCTCAGGCAGTTGGGACATTTCCCTTGAAAGCCTGTTCCTAATTTTAGTGAAAACACTCATGTAGACATATCCATGGAAAATGAAGCA